TACACGACAAATTGCCTTCAACCATGGGCTACTACACTACTGAACTACGACCTAGTATGGAGTACGTGCGGGCCAAAGATTTCGGTCAGGCTGATGCTCTTTCTCGTCTGATCGTCGCACAGTCACCTCAAGCGGAAGATAAAGTCATCGCTGCCATCGACGCCGATGTCTCTGCCGAAGTAATGGATCACTGCCATCATGTTCCGGTCTCCTTCCAAACTATGCAGACCGCGACCACTTCTGATCATCACAAAAAGTAATACAGAAAACTGTATCTGGATTTGAGGCAGCAAAACCGCAACAACTTTCCTTTGGACTCAATATCACTCATCGAACACCGTGCCGATTTGCTGGGACCCCCATTAGTGGATTGCTTGCTTCAGAGCATGCATTGCTTACAATGCGCAATGCTACAAAAGAGAGCCTTCCCGACGTTTGCCCATTTGCCCCAGAAATTTTGGCCTTCCTCTTGCCAAACTTCGCTTAAAGGCTTATTCAAGTTCCCTGTTACGAAGATGACATCCATATCAGGCTCTAAATCGACATAATTCAGTCCCTAATTGTCATTTGGTGTCTGTTACAAACACGATGTTCTTTTTTGGCGTCGGCGCAATTAAGCGCCATTGACAAGCGCCGACTTCGCCTCGCTAGTCCGTTCCTGAGTTTGTTATGACTTTTCATTTGAAAATAATCGAGAGGCATCACCACAAATACGACATTCACGTTCGACGCCAGGGTTGAAGATCCGTGTCGTTCAGATGATCAGCCTCATTAGGTACTCCTGAATGTGAACCAGAAGGAGCTTCGCTGAAAAGCGTCACGACTAGGAGTCTGCGCTGGAAGCGCGGCTGAAATCTGTCATAATCGTGATCAGCGATGCTGAGTTTCGTGACTTCCCGGCTCCCCTAACTATTAACTTGAGTTTCGATCCACGAGGTCGAGCATTCAGGCATCTCAAAAGCTCCTGCCGTGGATTTACTATCAACTGTCGGCTTATCATACAGCGGCTTACTGTGAGTCGAGGTGCCTTCCTCAGCAGTACTCAGCATTTTCGCTGGGGAGCCATAGTTTCGAAATCGTGGTATTTTTCTTGCCGTATCGTATCGTTACCAGTCATGTTAAGCTGTGCTCGGCCATTGAAATATGGTGGTTTTATGTCATTTTCTCAACTCAAAATTAATGAAGTTGTCGACTGATTCCAGCCAATGGGCCTTCATTTTTTTAAACTGAATATGGCGAAATTTTCATCACTTCTGCATGTTTCCGGATTCCAGAGAAAGATAACTCAGTTGCGATTTGCGGAGTACCTTCAGAAGACGTTTTTGAAACAAACACGCTATTGCATTTCGTACCAGCTTTTTTAAGTCTTGAAAAAAAAAACGTTAAAGGCGACCTCCGCCGTTATCATCAATGTGCTAAACAGAAGCATCATATTGAATTCCGGTTATATAAAGTGCGACTTATTGGAGACGGGCACTAGTCTGAGATTGAAAAATTCAGATTTGTGCTATTCTGATTGCTGGCACTTGCCGCATATGAACGTATCCTCGATGAGAAAGCCAGAAAGCCAACACTCCAGAATAGAGCGGATTTGAAGCTCTGATGACGTCACTTAAAAGAAAGCCTGAGACGAAAGTCTAGAAGGCCCTGGTGCCGCAGTGCAAGGTTATCTGGACCTCAACGACGTCCCTTGTTGAACCTCGAATGATGTCGAATGTTCGAATACTTCTGCCAAGAGGTTGTTAGAAGGAGCCTTTCATTGGCCTTACGTTTCACCTTCTCGTCTTCTTCAGAAGCCTGAAGATGGCTCGAAGTTTTTCATTTGCACCTCCCCCTCTAGTGTTTCCGAACTCGCGTCCTGATTGCTCCCGAAGAACTTAGTAATAACTGCGAACAACTCACCGAAGGTGCCACCGTGCGGAGCCTAGCTCACAGCGTGGCGCGTTGTCAAAGTGGATGTGGTGGTATTCGAGAGCTCACAATAATGTTCATTACTGGAACGACTATTAGATGTTTGTTGATGGTGTGATGTTCGACACCAATATTTTGAAAAACAAGGTACTAACAGTTGGAACCCTTTCTTCGTCTACGATTTGCGCTGACACATGTACTCAGATCCAGCGAAATTACTCAAAGAAAGGGCATGTGTACATGCCTATATCAAGAAGACTAGAGAAGGAGAAATCAAGTAGTCAAGCCATTTTGTTGCATGGCAGTTTTTGATGAATAGAGCTCTGACTTCCCAAGCCCTTAAATCACGCTTTATAAATGCTGTCAGGTGGTGAGAGCTCACAGTGAGTAAGTAGGTCGACTTACATCTTCTAGACAAATTCAAAGCTATTCATCTTCCCGGCCAGTCATTTCAATAGCATCCAAAACTCAAAGGAGTAATCCGAATTGGGCTCATTTCTAATCAGTTCAGCTAGCTGTTGCTGATATCATTTACGAAACTTCTTTTGTCGTTCCAAAGAAGGCTTCGAATATGTACAGTTGAATTTAACATTCATGAGCTCACGTTTGCAAGTTTTCTTGTTCGTTATAGGCTTGCCAGCATCCCGAAAGTATCCTGCTCTACAGAGGTGACAGTTGCGTCCGATGGTATTGTGTCGACAGTTCACACAAACTCCTCCACTTCTGAAATGTGTTCCAAAAAATGTTTGCAAATTTTCATCAGTGCACATCATTGCTGCGGAAGTCACAACACCCCATATATATAATTCGCTTTGTCTGTTTGTTTATTTGTTTGTAAGTTTGTTTGTTTGTTTGTTTGTTTGTCCGGAAATTCGGTTTGACCTGAAGAAACAATTGGAGAGGTCGGATAAAGTGGCATGGGTTAGGAGCATGGACAAGAATAAAAAGCACATTGCCTATGCGAAGCCCCGCCCACAGATGGGCGGCCTCCTGAAAATTTTGGGGTTCCGACAGGCCAAATGTTTCATAATTCGCTTCCGGAGCAGCCTGAAGATGGGGGAAAAGTTTAGTAAGATTAGCAAGGAGTTGCCAGACAACCTGTGGGAGACACCCTTAAAATGGGCGGGGCGTACTCAAGGCGATCGGTGCTTCTCATAAAACTCAGTAACCCGGTTCACGAAGTGTTTAGTAGTCAGCAAAAGCGTCAACTGCAGAATTGTTCACATTTGCCGAGTGTTAGGGCACGCTCAAAGTGTGTTGAGACGAGCCCACAGTGGACGGAGCTTGCCCTAAATCGCAGGGTATTCATTTCAAAGTTTGTAGCTCGATTCGAAAACACTCCAGAAACCGGAAAAAGAGGATCAAAGTCAGCGAGAGCTGGGCCGATTGGGGATTACATAGCGGGCCCCGCCCACTAAATTTGTGCCGCGCACAAACATAGTGGGCGAGGCCTGCTCCGGGGTGGGCGGAATCAGACGAAAAATGTGTAAAATATTCCAGAGCTATTCCAGGGACAGGAACAAAATGTGCATTAAAGTCAAGCAAAGGGTCCGCCGATGAGGAATGTGGGGGCACACATGCTTTGGGCGGGCCAGACAATAGTTCTGTAAAACAGGTTCCCGAGCACTCCAGGGACCTGAAAAAGTGGATTAAGGTCAGCAAGGGTCGCCGGTAATAGAATGGGAGGCACACTTGCTGTGGGCGGAGCCTGCCCGAGGTGGGCGGAGACAGACAAAAGTTCTGTAAAACACAGAAGTGGATGGTCAGGAGGGATCACTGTTTGATGCGGCACACAACCGTTGTAGGCGGAGCCAAACGCAGAAATATAGAATGGTTCCATAACAGACTCCAGGCACCGGCAAAGACGAGCAAAAATGTGCAGGAGCTCCGCTATTGAAGCGAGATTACGCGCCCATTCTGTGCGGAGCTGTGTCGATGTTGTGAGCGGGCGAAGGTCAAAAATTCACGAATTAGTTGAGCAGCACAGGCACCAGGGACAGGTGGATTGAGGTCCACAAGGGGTCAGCGGACAAAGTGGAGGAGACATCTCAAAAATGGGCGGGCTGCTTTCGAGATGGGCAGGCTCTTGCTGAAAAATTTCGTGGTTTGCCCGGTCGTTGACGCTAATGGGACGCTCGAAACGCTGATGGTCGCTGGTGGACGCTGCCCAGAGTGTGAACGCTTACGGGGAGGTTCCATCTTGCTGTCTCCTCTGCGTTCTAGGAGAATCCACAGTGCAATAGAGAATTACGACCAGTGGCTTCGTATTAAACTACAGATTACGGCATAAATATGGTGAAAATCTCATCATCGTTCTCGCTTCTACGACATTCATCAACCGTTTTTGCTCACGAATTGCCGCAGCAGGCTCCACCATTGTCAAAAAGTTGTAAAGTTTTAGCAAGGTCTCAGTACTAGGTGCTCGCCTATGGATTCGTCTCCATCGTCGTTCGTCACCCCAGCTACCACCATTTCTCGCATGGTGACATGTAATTTACTCGACTCGAATCCATTTGTTCCGAGTCTGCTACAACTTCCAGTTGAGAAAAAGATTTGTGTGGAGAACAAGTAAGGTGACATTACTTGGAAAAGAAAAATGATCGATCAATCTATCATATCTGCCTCCCTTGTCGAAAAAAAAATCGTCCACGTTCAGCTACAGAGGTATACCTACAAGTTCCGGGTAGTTGCGATATACCCTACAGTACAGAAAGAGCAACTGCCGCACCCTTTTCTTCGCACGGCACCCACCTCATTATACCATTATTACAGACGGAAAGTTATTTGACGTAGGAGATAAGTTCTACCCCCTGATCAACCATATGGTCGCCTGCACAAGTCGGGAAACTTATGAGAGTAGCCGAATCGTTTCTGTCTTGTGCGGAATGCTTCCCACCCAAATCTGAGCTAATTGGCAGAAACCGCTTTTTTTGTCGAGTAAAGAATTGAGATCAGCTGCGAGATTCACATCTATATTTCCCAGAAGAAAATTTCGTGAATCGAATATCAATCCAAGTAGGTCGTTTGCCTCATCCGAAGTAATGAAATAATTAAGGTCAGGCTCAAAATGGAGAGAACCCTAAGTTTGGTGCTGCGCTCAATGTGTACGAAACCACTGTCGCTCTGGGACTAACAAACTCGCCAGACATGGAAATTGCGACTTCTGTCTATGATCTATTCTATCAAAAAAAGTGTGCACTTCAACGGAGCACAACTGAAAGTCTGAGGAAGTCGCTGAAGAATTCCTCAATCCTCAGGAAGCACTGTGTGCCGCCGCAGATCGCAGACCTGAAGCGTCTTCGAACAGTCATTTGCACTGGAGGTTACAAGGATCTTGCACTTGGTCTGTTGCAACGACTCAATGTACACTCATTACCCCTGAGCCAAAGTAGGCGTGGCATGTGAACATGGCACGGAATTGGTTACTCGTGGAATATTCCAGTCTGGGACAACTGTCATCTTGTTCTGTGCTTGGACAGAGACACGACAACAATTGTGTCAAGATGAAAATATCTCACCAGAAGCATAGACACCTGGTTAAGTTGAAACATGCAGCCACGCCTACCCGATCTCAGGGATTTCGAGTATAAATAGGTTTGAGAGAGGTACCGTGTTTCAGCTTAGATTACTGTTTTCGTACCACAGTTACTTGCTTTGCTTATTTATGGCGCACCCTGTATTTGCTATTCACCGTGACAAGAAGATGTGTTCCATGAGCCCCTTCAAACGAACCGGAAGTGCCATGATGGCCGAAGCAGTGGATTCCCTGGGAAGCTGGGAATTTTTCACAACACCCACCCAAAGCGGAATCTTTTGAACCGGTAAACACAAGGGAAATATGCAATTACGCTGGTAAGAGGGAGCATTTTGGATTCCAGCGCTCTTGTTGTTTCTTGAGCGTTCACTAATGAAAAGCACTATCTGTTCAAAGCATAAAAGCTCGTATGTGTCACCGAAAATCCAAAATCATTCCACAGCGGAATAATTTCTCAAAACAGAGAACAGCTGGAACAAGTTCAGCACGAGAGTGAGAGTCTCTGGAGAGTGTAATTCTGGTGCTTCCCGAACCTATTTTCACAATTGAGGACCCTCCACTCCTGACAAAGTTGTGGTCGTTCAAAGGACGGGTACCTTGCATCGCTCTCCTATTTTGCACAATTTCGTACAAAAGCGCGCTCTGGTGCCACTATGGATGGGGAACCGAGCGCGACTTCAAATCCCCGATCTGCCGCTGTGTAATGCGACCACCTCCAGTCACCAGTGCAATTGGGTGCTACAGCGAATTACTCCTGGTATCATAGCAATCGGAAAGAGGTTTCAACAGGGGTGGGAGCCCTTCCCCACACGGTTTTCCTCCACTATTTGTTTTCTTTCCAAAGTGATCACAAAGCGATCACCATTGGTAAAGTATGTTGAGCAGCCGGGGACAGGCTCATTCCACTCTATTTGACTGCAACATTACCAACTGTACCGTAATTTCACGGGATTTCTCTCCAGAATTTCACACACCGATTTGGCTGAAATCCCGATATGTTATGCCTCTTTCTGTAAAGAGGTGCGTTGGGCTTGACTTGCGTGGGGTTTGACTATGTTCTTCAACAACAAGCAACTGCCGTTTTTGCAAAGCGAGAATAGCTTTTGAACTTTTCCGACTTTGACCGATTGGGCGTCATTTTGATGGGAAAAGCGCATTTTCTTTCTAGGTGTGGGCAAAAATTGAGTGCTCTGGACCAAATAAGCTGTCATGAATTATATACAGGACACGCAATGGAGAGGGTTGTGAAGGTTCCGGAACACTTGACTACATCGATTTTTCGATGATTTCAAACAATTAAGGCCTCAGTGAACGTTAGAGAGCTGAAGGAGTACTTTATTCGCCAGAATAAATGCATTTTTCGCAGCCCCAGAAGCGATCCCAACTCCAATTGCGTCTGCATCGCAGCCAAATCCAATATCGTTAGTGAGCCAAAGATTGGGTGGCGGACGCTTGAAGGAACACTGCATGGTGATGGGAACAAATGGAAGAAATCTGATCGAAGATTAGCTGGTCAGGAAGAATAAAATGAAGAAAAAAATTCCCCATGGAACTCCCACCCCTCCCCCAGTGGGCATAGAATAATTGAGGATAACTCCGGCTTCATGCAGTGTGCACACCGTGTTCATGTACATGCTTCGTCTATAATACGGAATTTATTTGCAAGGTCGACGAAAAAGGGTTTTGACCGCTTTTAGAGCTGCGTAGTAATGCGATTATTATAGCGAATGAATGTCTACAGCAATTCTGCGACTCTCTTCCAGCCGGACAAGCTCCATGTTATGCAGTACTGATCGGAAATAGATTTCACTCTGAGTTTTGAAACCTTTAAAACCCTCGCAATAACCCAACCCTTCGTGTCAGCTGTTTTCAATTTGATGACACTATGGTTATGTCTTATTTGGGTTACAGAGGCTCAGCTCCTTGATAAATCACTATCAATGTTAAAAAGGACCCCTTCGAAATTCAAAAAGATGGAGCGTTGCTGTGATCCTGCAGAAGCTGGAGATGGTAGTTGTCAAAGAAATACGGCTCATTCACCCTTATTCAAGCACAAATCATTAGCAATTCATTTGCAACATTGGGTGGCATAAATTATAAAGTGTTGAAACCAACTCGTTAAGTGAGAAGAAAGTACTCATAAAAAACCATTTGTCAGTTGGTCTCTGGCAGCTACTGTATGATTGTACCTACCTGTTCTCGCTTAGTCGGTAGAGTTCCTGGTCGAATCGACACCGCTTCGCGTGCATATTGCAGTTACATGCTGAAATAAGCATAGCAATATATAATATATGTAGTTATGTCTACGAATCATAGCTTGTGAACTTTACTTAAACTCCTGGAGGAACAAAATGATCAGTCCACTTACAGTGTTTTGATTTAACTGTTTACTTGCATTCAGGGTATACTACTGTTCCTAATTCTGGCCATAAGGAATCATAACAACAGATTATCCTAGCACTAGCAGCCTCAGTTCTCGGCAACAGATCGGACCACGGCGTAATATAGGATTGAGAACAATGCGTGTCACCTGCCCGTCTAATATTGCAAGCCGTGCAGCCTTTGCACTCTCATTTCGGTTAATCATATTCGTTTCATTTGCATATTCACGCGCAGACAACGAAGATTTGTGGGTCCACCATCAATTTGGGAAGAAGCCTGGTATAGGTCAGTTTAGAAGATGGGTACATACTTAACGAGTCACAGCAAGCGAATTCCCACTAGAAAAGTCCACCATATGTTTCAAAATATAAAGGGTGGAAATCACATGCCTCAAAATAAACCTTGAAGAAAAGAAGAATTCTGCAGTTTTCTGGTGTGGAACACGTTTTAGTTTGGATAGAGGCTAGATGTGAATCGATTTCATTATCTATCTAGGCACGTAATGGTGTCATAAAGGCAGTGGTCGCATGCGTGGGCCATTGGCTCTCAGTACTAATCCAATCTTGTTTATTACTTGAACGCCGTCCTACCGCATGAACGAAAAGGTAGAAAAGCGGTATTGCTTTGGATAAAAACTACTCAAAAGAAACGACAGAAGGCCAAGCGGCATCGAGCCTGACCCTTACATGTGAACAAACCGGAGAGAGAATGCTTGGAACAGTGGTCAGCCATTTTCGGTTATGCTTTATTACGCTCGCTCAGAACAGGATGTCGAATGTCGCTATAAGGCAGGGAAGCCATATGCTTCTACTCTGTTCATTATTGTTGTTTTTGCCAAGACTCCTAGACAGCAAGCATTTATATAGGTGCACGCCAATCGAAAATCTCATAAACGCGCGCCTGAACCTTTACATTTTTCAAAAATGTAAAAAAAGATATCTCGTCCCTCTTCGTACCTACGGCAAGCATTCCCGCTTGAGATGTTGCTCGTCTCCAGGGTCGATCAAAGTGGAAAGGCTTGCAAGTTTCGCATTCACTCCCAAACCGTATTATGTTTGCAATCACAGGTAAACTGAAACAGAATTCGACTTCGAGAACGAAGGTGAGGTAAAATAGGCACGGCTTTCTAAAACCTACTTTGCCCATCTTGTCGAATATACAACGGCTGGCGTGACCATTACACTTACATCTGCCGCCAACAGCTAGCTCTCCTATTGCAAAGAAGATACCATCGCTGTTGTTCTCGCCGGCAGTATTGTTTGACAAATCGTTCACATCATTGGATACGCCAAATGAATCCGTCTGAATGTCCATGATCATTCTATGCACATTATTGACGGCAGGAGAGCTATTAGAATTTCACACCTGGGGTGAACCTACGTGAATGATTTGAATGCGAATATCTGTTGCCGTCACCCAGTCTTGTAGCACAGGAGATGATTCAAAAAATACAGCAGATGGACGATTCTCCAGGAATGGGAAAGCGATACGGTTTGCCCTCGGAGCCAGGTTGTGTGAGTTAGTGCACAACGCTTCCTACAACACTGATATATAAATATAATTGGGAGAATAGAGAAAGGCATTTAGGAAGGAGGTGGTGCAGTGACAAGAACGCCGTTCACTGCGGACGCATCCGGTAGTCAAACCTTACGTGTCCCCTGCCCTGAACACCCAAGCTCATTGGGTTAATCGGTAGCCACACTCGTATGGATGGGTATAATACTAATAAGCTAAATAAAGTCAAAACTCACTTGGTCCCCTGCCCTGTACACCCAAGCTTACCATTAGGGCCCGCCGGTTGATTAGTACCACACTCGTATCTATGGGTAAAATACTACAAGCCCCACAAGTCATTGCACGAGCCATATCGCATTTCAAAACCACTAAGAATCTGAGAGAAATGAGTGCGTACCATATTTCAAAAATGATCTATCGAAGGCCAAAGGCGTCCTTCGTCAATTCAGATCTTGGTGTTTCTTCACAATTAATGGTAACAACGTGGCAGGATCCACTGCTTTTCTGTTTAATTTTCGCTCAGGATTGCTATTTTCGGAAACCCTAAGAAGTCAGAAAAGTGCCCAACACTCAACGCAAACCTGTTCGTTATGCTTAGTGATGACCACGTCTGGTGCTCTTCCGAACACGGACCGACAATCAGATGAGTAATACTGAAAAGGAATCCACGTTCTCCCGTGATCCGTTGACTTGTACAATGCCATGGAATCAGGCAAGTGTGAACAGAAGTACATGGATATGTAGGTTAGTTCGAATTTTTTCCCCAAAGATAAAGTAAGTGAAACGTTGTAGGATTCGAG